CCCCAAAACCCCAAAACCCCAAAACCCCAAAACCCCGAGTATGAATTATAATCTGTTGAATTGAATTAAAATGTAAGGATTGATCTATAATAAGTTTAATAAAATGAGTGCAATTTAAGAAGAGGAGTTACTAAGCTAGAGCAGCTAAGACAGATTAAATACGCTTGTCAGAGCTGATAATATTCTCTTTCGATATCCTGAGAGGGAATTTACATAAGATTTTGAGAAGGGGTTTACTATCAGGCATCATCAGCCATTAATTAAAAATTGCATTAGTGATATTAAAAGTAGAGTTGAAGCTCTCAATGTTAAGAGTGATAGAAGAGAGTCCTAATAAAATAAAACATACTAATCTCAGAGAAGTATTATTGTGGTTGATGAAGAATTGGATGAGGCATTATAAAAATTTGAAAGAAGAACAAATATAAAGCCAAACTCAAAGGTACTGCATCTTTAAACTAGTATTGATAGCAGGATTAAAGAATGCATCCCAGTTGACGAAAAACTTGCCCCTTTAGAAGAGCGTATTAAACTACCTCAAATTATTGATAGCTCATGAAATGTAATAGGTCTCTATTAGTAATCTTCAAATGTAATCAAACGATAAAACGTAGCCAGCATGAAAGAGTTCTTACTAAACCGCCGAAAAAGAAGACAACAATCATTTTAGAACAGAGCTCAGCACTACCAATCACAGATAAACAGTTCGTAGAACTAATCAACATTAAATAATAAAAGCAACAATAATAACAATAATAGTAGCAGTGTTATAACAACAAGTAATTATAACTCCGTTATTGAATTGAATATTGGTAGCAACCCTGATCAAACAGGATCTAGATCACCATTAAGACTCAAAATTAATGAAAGCTCTTAGAATCTGATCAAAGTTAAAGCTTCAGGGTTAGATTCCTAAATCCTGAGAAACGCAATCGTCAATAGGGATTCATTAAACTAGAGCAATGAGATAAATTCTCATGCTTTAAGTGGATCTCAAACTTCAAATCCTAATCTACTTAAAAAGATACTTAACAGAGTAAGTATCAATTAAAGATCTTTTAGAAGGAATGGGAAATTTGGAAGAAATCCAAATAATAGAACATAAATAGATTAATCTATAAGTATAATGCCTCTTTCTGGTTAGTTACAAGAAGTTCAATTGTTTAATGATTTCAGCAAGTCACCTTCTTAAAGTCCTTAAAATAGAAAGAAGTCTATATTCAACATGGGAAATACCTCTGATGGTACTTTTATCACATTTTTGCCAGCTACAATTCAAAATCATAACTCAATAAACTAAACTACCTCCCCAAAATCTCAAATACATAAATTTCAGCTTACTTCTTAAAATGAGAAATTTGGAAATTTTAGTGGAGTCTCCAATAGCTAGGTGCTCAATATGAATCTATCAAACAAACTTAAGATAAGTGAATTCAATCCTTATCAAGATCTTAAATCTAGCAAGAGCAGTACACCTAGGCATTATCTTTTGGATAAAATATCAAAGAACATCAAGTAAACAGCTAGACTAAGAGATAACCTGAATCACAACATGCAAAAAATAAATGAAGACATCAATAAGTCCATTCACCAAAACAGTAACAGTCTAAACTCAAGACAAATAGGCAAGAATAATGAGCTTTTATAACTTTCTCCAAAGATTAGAATATCTCTAGGCTAGAAACTAAGGTCAAGCATCATCAAAGCCAAATAAGGAGTTAACTTTAACAGCACCGTTAACTAATTGAAAAACTAGCAATATTGAATAACTGAGAGCACCTATATTATTTCTTGGCTCTTGACAATTAATCATAGGAAGAGTATGTAATCACATATGACTAATAATTTATTTTATGAATTTATTAATCATTGATTAGAATATAAATTGGTATTTAGGGGTTTTGGGGTTTTGGGGTTTTGGGG